GAGTTTGTAATGTATTTTGATATTTTAGTTTCTCTCTAGATAAAAAATGATCAAGAAGTGCCTCACAAGTGGCCAAGTCAAAGAGCTCATCGAAGAGGCCGGCCCAGGATAAGCTCAAACTCATCGCTAAGATGATCGGTTCAGTACGTACATTTCAATACTCTCTGTCTTCATTTTCTTTCTCTTTGCTTTTGAATACATCGGTATCATTACAAACAGAACCAATATTGAATATTGAGGTTCAAATTTTATGCAAGTGTTCAAGAGAACAGGATTTGAATCCTCTAATTGTAGATTAGGTCATTCTTTGTGTAAAAGGGATAAGCAATTTTAAAGTTCTGTAAAAAAAAGTTAGTTTGAAGATTTTTTATTTGTTTCAATTTTGACAATTAAATATATTTAACTAGCTATGTGTAAAACATTCAATTCTAAAATGATTTGATTCTCATTTTTAGACAACCAAACATGCTCTTAATTTTTCATTGCATAGAACTTGAATTAAACAAGATTGAATTTTTTCTTATTTTCTTTTTAGTGATATTTTCTTCTTGTTAGTGATATTTCTCAGGAAATGCAAATTTTTATTATATATAGAGTATATCATTCTCAATTATGCATTTATTTCTTGATGATCATTTTCTACATTTATTTGTTAATCTGTTTGTTTTCTTTCTAATGAGAATTGACATTTTAAGGCCAAAAAAAGTTATGGTTATCCTAAATTTAAAAATCTAATGTATGCCTATATATTCTTACCAAAACAATTTGTATGTATATTTATTTACGGTGAATTATACTAACTGTCCCTATAGTTTGGAGCTTGTGTCACTTTGTTCCCTGACTTTTCAATTGTGTTACATTTTTTGAATGTCGTTCCAAATAAGGACAATTGAAGACATTGTTGCTCCATTTGAAGGGCAAAGTCGTCATGTAACTTATTTTGTATTGGTTAACTTATATGTTGTTTGAAAAATAATAGTTTTTTTTAGTAAATAATATTGGAACTTTTTTCGTTATAAAGTTCTCTTTGGTTTGGTTTTCCGAATCTATTTTCAGAAAAAATTTCTAAGAAACTAAAAATTAAATTGGTGAAAAAAAAATTAAAAGCACATCATTTTTATATAGAAATAATTTTTTTATATTTATTTTCGTTAAATTAGTTTTTATTTTTTCAAAAGTCACACATAGTAACAACTTTGATGTCATTATTAAATCAATCTATTAAATCAAAAAATTTAAAATTAAAAACATTTCATATATTAAACATATTGATTATACATAGCCTAATAATCAATTACATGATAACCATCTAAAAATATCTAATAACAACAAATACAACCATCTATTATATGATAGCCATCCAAAAATATTAACAAAAACAACCACTCATTACATTGTCATCATCCAAACACATAATAAAAATTATTTTTGGTAAAAAAATAAAAAAATAAAAATGTAAAATATTTATTATTTTTATATAGTTTTATCTTTGGTGAGTAGAAATAATTTTTAAAAAAATTAAAAATAATTTTTTGACATTTATTTTTGTCAAATTAGTTTATATTTTATCAAATTGACGACTTTGCCCTTCAAATGGAGTAACAATGTCTTCAATTGTCTTTATGTGAAACGAAATTTAAAATTCAGGGTCAAATATATTATAATTGAATAATTAGGGACCAAAATGATACAAGTTCTAAATTATAGGAACCGTTCGTGTAATTTGCACATTTATTTATATCTATGAGATGGAAACAATTTTGCTCCAAATTAGGAAACTTCGCCTTACTAAATGTTAGTTCAGAAAGTTTTTCCAAATCTGTTTTGTTGAATTGAATCATTAAAATAGGTTTAGAAAATATTGATTTCATTGGTAGCTTGATTTATGTAATATGTGTGCCTTTACACCCTTACCAAAAAATTTGTATATAAATTTATTTATATGTGTGACGTATGCATTTATATTTTTGTAATCACCGGATAGTTAATGGATTGCTTACTGTTCCAAATTAGGCAACTTTGCATTTTTATTTGTTAATTCGGAACGTTTTGCCAAGTTGTTAGACTGTGACATGTTTTTGTTGGGTTGAATCATAAAATAGGATTTAAAAAGTAGGATTAAATTGGTCATTCCCCCTCTTGCAGTCTTATGCTTCTTTTTTAAACTAATGTTTTTTGTATTCATATTTGATCAGTCATTCCCAGTGCCCTAATTAGTTTCTTCTCTTGTATTCATCAGCTTCTAATGTGATTATTGGATTGGATAAAATTAGATCAAACCACATTTCTCAAATTGCCTAGATAATTTGCTCGAAGGCAAACAATGTGTGAATTTTGTTGTTAGATCTTAGTTTGCTTTTCTTTATTTGACTTCACTATTTTCTTTTGAGATACAGGGCTTCTGATTATCCATAGGAATATGATGATACCTCCCTTCAGATGAGATTATCACACAGTTTGTGTTCTCGCATTTTTCTCGTTCTTGTTCAATGGACTGATTGTCACCTTGCGGGTGCCCCTGGATTGCTTAGAATCCTTATTTATATTATATTTTTTTGTGCATTTCGTGGTTTTATGCTAATTCTCTTTTACTTGGAGAGATTTATTGTTTTACTAACTTGGAAGGCTATAATGTTGATGGGCGCTTGCAGCTTGTGAGGACGGCAAGACTACCATGTTTTTTATGAAAGGAAAGCTAGCATTAGAGAATTTTATGGTGAGTGGGCTGAGGAGCCTATTTGGTTGTGTTTTCCTTTTCTGCTTTTTGTTTTCATTTTTAGGAAAACTTCTTTAGCAAACTATTTCTGATAACGGTTTTCAGGAAAATGTTCTAAAAAACCCCCACTTTTGACTAAACGCCAAAAGGTTGTTTTGAAATTTTTGAAAATTGTTTTTGCACAAAAATGAAAACAATGATTAGAGTCTGAAACATTTTTGTTGGGAGTAGAAGTATCAAAGGGATTATGAATTTCCTACCCCACTTACAATGGTTAGGTTCTTCAACACGATCTTCTTTGTGTTTATTGGGCATGGATTCTTTTACATGCATATCATATCCACATCAAAAATAAATATAAAAAAAAAACCAATAATACTCTTTGGATCATGGAAGGTACTGGACATTATTGTCATTTGAAGATAATTGCTTAGTGATAGGGGAAATATATGATGCTTGGTGGATATTTGAATTATTGATAATATAAAATGTGTATATATATTAGTGTGTGCATGCGCGGTTTGCACAAGGGTTTTCTAACTTGATTTTATGATTGTTTTTGGCCTCCACAATACTTCAATATTTGATTACATGCTCTGCCTATCCCACAACTACAAATTGGTGGGCACCTTTTTGCCTATTTTGAGTTTCATGGATGTTCAGAATTGGATTTCGCTGCTTTAAAATGTTAGAGGTTACTAATGTAGAGTTGAATTGTTGTTTCAAGCGTACTTGGTCTCAGTCATGTCCTTTATATCGTGATAGTATCATAAGAGTAGACTCTAGTGACCTCTGGATCTACACCAATGACTGTCAAGGATGGAATCAAGATTTCATCACCGGAGGGGTCAAAAGACAAATAAAAAATTTTCACCATATACCTATGCACGTATGTATGTACAATATGATATATAATTTATGTATACACACAAAAAGAATTCAAATACCATAGAAGTAATTTTCAATAGGATGAAGGTTTTTTTGGTGCAAAATAAAAAGAGAGCGCAAGATAGGAGAAAAATGAGATAGGTTTTTTTTTCTAATACTAGGGCCATTTTATGTATAAAATGAGATATTTTTTTTAAAATGCTATGACAAACCATATTTTTCATAGAAACAGGGGAGCCATGGCTCACCATAATCTTCTCCTAGTTCCGTCCCTGGCGACTGTGATGTCATGGACTTGTCTTCAATTGCAAAGGAGAATTTGAAGAGACTAATAATGTACATCGACAAGCTACCCCTTATCGTTCCTGATCCAATGCTCGTCTCTTATGATCCCCATTTCCTGTGAGAGTTAGAGACCATCTTCATCTTCAGGAAATGGAAACATTTGTGTGCATAGATGGCTCTTTCATGTTGTATATAAGTTTATGTTTGTTCTTTATTAGACATTCATTTTATCAAAGTTGTATATACATGTTGGCCATTGCCAGCAGGCTCTCTTAAATGTTGTTTGAATTATATAGGGTTAAATAAAATTTACCCTTGGGATTAGGCACAATTCCCCTCCCCCTCCCCCCTCCCTGCGTGATTTTAATTTGTGATGCAAAACTATCAAAAAGAGTTGATCAAATTAGTATAAATGCACTCTAAGTTAAATTTGATTTTATTTTTCTTATTTGATCAATGAAGAAAAAAAGAATACCATTAATGGATTGGATTCAAAGAACAACTTAATGTAAGATTTATGTTTTTATTTTCTGTTTATTTTGTATAATGATTTGAAAGTTCATCATCTTGCTCTTCAATAGATTTGTGTGATAATCACTTGTGTAGTATTTGGTTCATTAGAATAATATAAAATATAATGAAAGTTATTTCTTAATCTGTCTATAGAATGATTTGTAATACATTTTTCATAATTTCCTTACATATTCTGTTTAGATCATAGATTTTGAATAAAGATTTGAAATGAAAATAGAGAATAGGCACATAATATGGAGTATGTGCATAAATAGAAATGTTATGACTTAATCTATTACTAATAAATTCTTTTGTTATGTACTTGTTATATTTTAGTTAATGGTATTAGTTGACTGATTGCCTCTTCTATTTTTGATTATCTAATAAATCGAATACAATACACAACTAGACAATATTATACGATATACATATACAGAAAATAAACACTCTAACTTCAATGCAAAATGTGGATAACATTAACTATCTGTAAATTATATTTTTCTTTTTTTATAAAAAAAAAATTATGGAATATGTTGGCTCTATTAAGGGTATAAAAAATAAAAATAAAAACATATACAAATGCATCTAGTGCGTATGTACTTGTTTTTCATTTTTTGGTGCTTTATCTAGTGCTCATATACAAGTGTGTGTGAGATAGAGTGAGAGTATTGGAGAGAGAAGCTGACGATGATGACGCAGAAAATCCCAAAAGCTAGTGTGGTTTTGAGAGACGGTGTTTGTGATCTTCAAAAAGGTATCACTTCATTCCCTTGTGTTTTAGCTTTATTTCATTCCCAAACCCACTTCAATTTGTCTTTGAATCAGAATTTCCAATTCCAATACGGGTTTGCTAACATTGACGATGCCCCAACTCAGTTCGATCACATGCTTCGAATGTGACCTTTGCCCTCAATTCTTCGATTCAACCAACTCTTAACTTCAATTGCAAGATCAAAGCATTATTCCACTGCGATTTCTCTGTTTACAAAATTGGATTTCTGTGGTGTTTGTACACTTAACATCGTTATTAATTGTTTCTGTAGCTTGAATTGAGTTGAGTTGGGTTTTTCTGTTTTTGGGAAAATATTGAAATTTGGTTATGATCCAGACACCACAACCTTCGATACCCTCATCAAGGGGTTTTGTCTTAATGGTAACATGGCTTCTGCTGTTAAGTTTTTTGATGAAATTGTGGAGAAAGGGTTCCAACCGAATTTCATTACTTACGGCACTATAATGAATGGACTATGCAAAATTGGAAACACTAGTGCTGCTATTCTTTTGCTCAGAAAGATGGAAGAAAAAGGAAATTGTGAGCCTGGACTAGTGGAATATAGCATGGTCATCAATAGCCTTTGCAAGGACAGACTAGTAACCGAGGCTTTGAAGCTCTTTTAGGAAATGATAGGTAAAGGTATTTCACCAGATGTCATCACTTACACGTTGTTAATTCAAGGTGTATCTAGTTTATGTGAGTGCAAAGAAGCTACAAGATTGTTGAATGAAATGGTTGGTAAGAATATCTGGCCAAATGTTCATACTTTTAACATTTTAGTTTATGCACTTTGCAAAGAAGGAAAGGCCAAAGAAGCACAAATTGTGGTTCAATTGATAATCCAAAGAGGTGTGGTGCCTGATGTTGTCACTTATAGTGCTGTAATGGATGGGTATTGTCTGTGTGGCCAAGTAGATGGGGCAAGGAAAATGTTTGATGTTATGGTTAGTAGGGGTTGTGCTCCTGATGTTGTCACTTATAATGTCTTGATAAATGGGTATTGTAAGATCAAAAACGTAGATGAAGCCATGAATCTCTGTAAGGAAATGTCTCAAAAAAGATTGCTTCCTGATATTATTACCTACACCACTCTTATTGGTGGCTCGTGCCAAACAAGAAGGCCTCGAGATGCACTTTTGCTTCTTGATGAGATGCTAACTCATGGCCAAATTCCTGATCTATTTACTTACTCTACTTTGCTAGATGGCCTATGCAACAACCAATAGATTGATGAGGCATTGGCATTGTTTGAAAAGATTGAAACAGCTGGATTAGTTTCTAATATTGTTGTCTATAATAACCTAATACATGGCATGTGCAAAGTTGGGAAGCTCGATGATGCAAGAAAACTCTACTTGTGTCTTTCTGCTAAAGGTTTGAAACCTAATGTTTGCACATAAAATATAATGATCAATGGACTTTGCATGGGAAGGCTACTTGATGAAGCAAGCAAGTTGCTAATGAAAATGGAAGAAGGATGCTCACCAGATTTTTACTCGTATAATATATTGGTTCAAGGATTTCTACAAAATAATGGAACACAGAAAGCATTGCAATTGCTTCACATAATGGATGATAGAGCTATCTCCGTGGACCCATGCACTGTAACCTTGCTAGTTAAATTGTTGTCTAATGATGGATTAGATAATTCGTCAAAGGAAATGCTTCATGTGTTTTTTGGAATTGCTTAATTTTCCAAGTAACCACCTAGGTTTTCTGAAGCTACTTTGTTTTCTAAGGCATCATAATGAGTCAAGGAATTGCGTTGATATATATATGCTTTATTGATAATTGTTGTTACTTGTAAGTTGATTTAACTCAAACATACTTGCTTTGATATTATATTTTATATAAAGGTCTGTTTTTGTTGCTCTGAAATTTTCATGCTATTTTTTTTCTTCCACATATGTAGTTTTGTGAAAGTTTTTTTGTTTGTTTGTTTGTTTGTTTATTTTTTTTTTTTTTTTCTTCATGGAGGATTTCTAGTTGAAATACTTCTCTCGTGTTCTTGTAGAGATTGTTTGATGGCATAAAGTTGTTATATGCTTATGATTATTAACTTTAAAAAAGTAAGGGATATAATGGTCATAATATTTAATAACAACTCATGCTTTGATATAAAAGATATGATGCCAAATGTGAGTTTGCCGCCTCTCTTTTTTGTCTTCATCTCTAATATCTCTCAAGTTTGTATTGAATTCATGGAGCCGAATGCATGGTTGAAGGGACATTAATAGATCTAGGTTTATCGTACAGCTTTTCCTTTAATCATCAATATTGGCCATAGATGATGGAGATATAGAACACCTTGTAGCTAATTACAATTGCCCACTAAAATTTAAGAGCTAAAAGTTAAATAAATACTGACTAAGTTATTTATAGTAGCTAAAGATTGTATATTTAGGGACTAATTTTTTTTTAGTCGCCCAAAACTCTATTTTCAACGACTAAAACTCAATTAGTTGCCAAAAGTAAAATAAATACCGACAAAATTATTTTTTTGTAGCTAAAGATTGTACATTTAGGGACAATTTTTTATTAGTCACCCAAAACTCTATTTTCAACAGCTGAAACTCAATTAGTCGTCAAAAATAAAATAAATTCCAACTAAATTATTTTTAGTAGCTAAAGTTGTACATTTGCCAACAAAATATTTTTTAGTAGCCAAAGTGCATACCTTTGCCGACCAAATTATTTTTTGTAGCTAAATTGTGTATCTTTGGTGACTAAATTATTTTTATTGGCATTTTTAGTCGTCAAAGGTGTATTTTCCTGTAGTGTGTTCTTGGAATTTCCGGTTTTAACATTATGTCTTGTTCTATTGAACTTAGCAGTTGAATCTTTGTATGCTTTTGCAATTTTTGTCCCCGGCAACCCAAATTCTGCTAACTACATCACATTGTTGTATGTTATGAAGGAGTTCCCAATTCCTTGGAAAGCAATTCTTTAAAAGAAGAAGATATAAATGAAAACTCAAATAGAAACTGTTGACATTTCAAACTATTCAAAGTTGTTTAATATTTATATTCCATTAAATTAATTTGGAAAGTGGCTCTCTCTCTCTTTATCTCTTTATCTCTCTTTTTTTTTTTTTTTGCCAAAGAAAGAAGGAGAGTTTTATTCATAAAGTGAAGAAGGTGAACTTAGCAGCCCAATATCAAATTGATGAGAGCATAAACACCAGAATTAAAACTGGTTTTCTAGAATATCAAAAGAAAAAACTGAAAATATAAAAAGGAAAATTACCTTTAAGTGGTAATTCCATAAATTTATTAATATTATAATTATTAATATTTATAAAATTTACCATGTATTTGTACTTATTTTACAAAATCTCAACTAAACTGTAATTTCTCCAAATAAAAACACAATCAAATCAAAATTAATGCTAATCTTGTCTTTTTTTAAAAAAAATTCAAAATTTATTTGGCAAATTATTTATGCGAACGGTTTTTGACAAGATTTTTCTACAACAATTCACATTCTAGAAAGGAAAAGGTGCTATCTGGCCGAGAGGGACCACTTTTGGGTCATATTTTAATAATCTAAACCGTTTATATTTTAAGATTTGTTGAATAGATTATTCTTGCAAAAAAATTAAATTGGTCAAAAAACACAATCAAATCAAAATTAATACAAATCTTGTCTTTTTTTAAAAAAAATTCAAAATTTATTTGGCAAATTATTTATGGGAACTTTTTTTGACAAGATTTTTCTAAAACAATTCACATTCTAGAAAGGGACGAGTTTCTCTCCAGTCTTTTATCAGACTTAGAAAGGTGTTGTTTGGCCTAGAGGGATCAATTTTGGGTCATATTTTAATAATCCAAACCGTTTATATTTTAAGATTTGTTGGGTAGATTATTCTTACAAAAAATTAAATTGGTCAAATAACGACAATCACGTGTTCGAATTAATTTTGTATAAAAAAGTACACGATAAAAAAATAAATAATTAATACAAAATTAATTTAAAAACGTGTTATCTATTATCCAATTAATGTAATCTTTTAAAAAATATATATTTTACAAATCGACTTGAATAACTGTCCAGTCCGACTGACAGTCTTGACCCTTGCAAGAAACATAGAGAAAAAAAATTGCAAAATTAAAAATGATATGAAAGTCGTGTGTGTGCGTTGTAACGCTTCATTTTTTTTGCTTGGTAAAACAGAAAAAACGAAACCCCTCGTCTGAGTGTTGTAGAGAAATTTGTTAGAGAGAGAGATGACGATGATGGCAAGAAGTGCCGATGCTGCTGTGGTTTTCAGAAATGGTGTTTGTGATCGTCTTCACAAGGGTATTTTCTCTCAATTTGCTTGTTTTCTTACAATCTTACTGAATCCCTCTTCTCATATTCGTACCACTGCTTCTGCGGAAGACCAATTTCAACATGGATGGGTATCGTTTGTGTGGCCAAGTAGATGAGGCAAGGAAAATGTTTGATGTTATGGTCAGTAGGGGTTGTGCTCCTAATGTTTTCACTTATAATATTTTGATAAATGGGTACCGTAAGATCAAAAACATAGATGAAGCCATGAATCTCTTTAAGGAAATGTCTTGAAAAGGATTGCTTCCTGATACTATTACCTACACCACTCTTATTGGTGGCATGTGCCAAACAAGAAGACCTCAAGATGCACTTTTGCTCTTGATGAGATGCAAACTCATGGCCAAATTGTTGGATTTATTTTCTAGTGTGGCCCAATAGCCTACATATTTTTACATATTTTATTTTATTTGGGCTCCACAATTAGATAAAACCAATATTATATATAAAGTTCAGTAATTAGAATTTTAATATAATCACTCTTCTAAGATAAGAAGGAAACCTTGATGGATTAGGAATTCTTCTGATAGAGTTTATTTTGCCCTCTTTTCTCCTCTATATAAGGATGGGTGACTCCCCTTTCATATCATGAGTATTTCTCCATCACTTTAAGTTTTATAGTCATCCTAATTAAGAGAGACAGAGAGAAGAAGGTGAGCCAAGAATTCAAGATTCAACTATTAGGGGTATTTTCTCAACTTCTCTAATTCAATGGCTAACAACGGTATGCTCGTTTTATTCTTGAGTTGTATTGAATTCAAGATCCTGTTAAGTTTAATTCCGCATTATTATTATAGTTACATGTATTATTAAATCTTACATGTGGTATCAGAGCTTTAGTTTGTGAATCAATACACCTTGGAATAATAATATATTTATGAATATTGTTATTATATTATAATTATAATTATTCATAAAAACATACTTTTGTTTATAAGGTTTGAACTTTGTTGGCATGTGATGTGCACTCCACTAAGTATACACATCATGGACTCCCTCACTCACAAGACAACGCGATCTGTTAGGTCCTAACCTAAATAAGAGCACAGTCCACTCACTTTGTTTTGTGATTTGTTAGGTGCAGGCTTTTATGTAATTCTATATGTTGTTCATATGCATGTTTTGATTTAGTATCAATTTTGGTGATAATAATTTTTATAATCATCATAATATGATATTAAATTGCGTGTATTGCTTGCCGTTATGATAAAGTACATAAATTAAAAGCAATTTTATAATTTGTTGAATCATTCGGTCTATTAAAGAATTATGATTTTACCTCATCTGATTATATACACTTATTGCTTATTATTGTTGATATTTATATATTTTCATGATTTAAAATTGATATCATGATATAATTTTATGACATTAAATATTAAATATTGAAGTGGTTAATTCATATTAGGTGTAATTCTTATTAACCATTATTTTAGATATTCATGATTGTTATAATACATATATAAATATTCCTGTTCATCCAGAGTTATTATTATTATATTGGTAATAGCAATCACATAAAAGAAATTTTAGAAATCATAAAAATAGTGATCTCATTAAAATATTATATTGGTAATTGCAATCACATAAAAGAAATTCTAAAAATCATTAAATAGTGATTGAATTAACGATAATTAAATAACTCAAAATTAATGAATAGGGAATATTGTTGGTTAGTTCCGTATTCATAGGGTTTACTAATTTAGTAGCTATCAAACTGGCCTAGATTTGTAAAACTTATGAATATAGAACTACATAAAAGAATTGTTAAAAGGGTAACATTAAGGTCGATAATATTCTCAATTGCAGTTATAATTAGGAGATTGAGACTAGCCCAAAGGAGAGTCACTTTCAAATAATTATAAACTGGGTAGGATAATGTATCTTATGTAATTTGACAGATTAGAATTGAATACCCAAAGGTAACATGACTAGCTGAAAAATTGCATAAATTACTTTAGACCTACATAAGTGATTCTTGACGAGTGGACAATAGATATACCTAAGTTTTTCCCAAAGGAAAAACTTATGTGATATCAATAGTTCATCATAATTCTCAAAGCTTTAATATGTATATTGTTTATGCCTTTTTCCGTGTTACTTATGAGATCTTGTGTTAATATCTCTTAAGATCTGTCAAAAAGATAGCTTGCTATCTAAGGTGGTTGGACTTTGAAGAGAGGCTATATTGACTCCTCTGACCTTCTTGGGATCTTACTTGGTTATTGACCAAAGGACTCTTTAGTAACATTACCCTAATGCTTAAAGTAAAATTTGGTTAAAAGCTGTTGAAAATCGACAAGCCACTTGCTGGCACTATTATGGTTAAATCAACAACAATGAAATATAATGGCCACCGAGGAGTTTAGGATCACATCCTCAATATGGTGACAAAGTTGCAAAACTTAAAACTTTAGGGATGCAGGTTGATGAAACTTTTCTCGTACAGTTTATTCTCAACTCACTTCCATCACAGTTCGGTGCATTCAAAATTCACTATAACACCAATAAAGATAAGTGTAGTTTGAATGAGCTGAGTAATA